GTACCAAATATAGAGAAGTCATCCATAAATACCTGTAGGCAATCCTCGAGCATATCCGAGAATATGGAAAACATGCACCGTTGGAAGGTTCCGGGTGCATTGCAAAGGCCGAAGGGCATACGTCTGAAGGCAAAGGTGCCGAACGGGCACGTAAAGGTAGTCTTGGGTTGGTCCTCGGGAGCTATGGCCACTTGGTAGTAGCCCGAGAGTCCGTCGAGAAAGCAGTAGAACTGGTGGCCCGAGAGTCGGTCGAGAATCTGATCAATGAATGGTAATGGAAAGTGGTCCTTCTTCGTCACGGCGTTAAGTCGCCGGTAATCAATACACATTCGCCACCCGGTAGTGATTCGGGTGGGGACCATCTCTTTCTTCTCGTTTTCGATCACTGTGATGCCCCCCTTCTTCGGCACCACATGGATGGGGCTAACCCATTCACTGTCGGCCACGGGATAGATGAGCCCTTCGGAGTAGAGCTTCAACACCTCCTTTTTCACGACCTCCATCATGTTCGGGTTGAGCCGTCGCTGGCTATCCCGAAATGGCCTGGCTCCCTCCTCCAAAACGATCCGGTGCATACAAGTCGAAGGGCTGATGCCCTTAATGTCTCCTAGGCCCCAACCGATGGCCTTGTGATTCTTCTTAAGCACCTCGACCAGCTCCTTCTCTTCGTCTTGATTAAGCTCGGCAAATATGATAACCGGCTTTTGTTTATCATCATCGAGGAAAACGTACTTGAGGTGACGAGGCAACTCTTTCAATTCTAGCGTTGGTGGGACCTTCGATCTCGGTTCCTCGACCTCCATTAGCTCAACAAACGGTCCTTCTTCCTCTTCGAGGTCGGGCAATGACCTCTCTTCCAGTTCTCGAATAGTCATCTCCTCCACAAACGGGTCACTCACATCAACAAAGGCGCATTCCTCCACATAGTTCGCCGAGGGGCCAGATGTGGCCTCTCGGACAGAGATAGACACGGACTCGCCTAAGACTGTCATGTTCAAGGTTCCGTTCTTGACATCAATGAGGGTGTTGGTGGTGGCCATAAACGGCCTGCCGAGAAGGATGGTGTGGTCCTTTCCATTCTCGTGAACGTCTCCGACATCGAGCACTACAAAGTCCACCGGGACGATGAGCTTTCCCACACGAACTAGGACATCTTCCACCACTCCTTTGGGGTATCGAATGGAACGGTCAGCAAGTTGAAGGCACATCCGGGTTGGTCTCAAATCTCCCAGGCCGAGCCGCTGGAAGATAGAAAATGGCATAAGATTGATTCCTGCTCCGAGGTCAAGCATCCCCGAAGCTTCCTTCCCGTTCCCGAGGGCTATTTTGATCACGAAGCCCCCAGGATCTCGTTCCTTCTTAGGTAAATCATGCTGCATTGCACTTGCCGCCTCGTAGACCACCACTTTCTCCCCATCTCCAAACTTTCTCTTCTTCATGACTAAGTCCTTGAAGAACTTCACGTAGGATGGCATGTTTTTGATTACATCTAGG